GCATTACTTCCTCGGATCTTCCTCCTTATCACTCTTTTTGTACAGCAGAATTGATTTTGACTCTTTTCAACTACTGTGTATTTTTCTTTTGACCAGATAGAGACTGAATCGAAAGGCAAGAGCTTTCCAAATTTCGCGTACTCCAGATCTGATCAGTTCGGTGTTAATGTCATCATTTTTGGAGCTTTTCCACTTTTCATTTGGAAAGCTGCGTGCCTTACCTCGCTGACAAGTGCTAGAGGGATGTGCTGCTTGTGGCGCGGATTACAGATGCTGGAATGTTGGTACGTGATGCAAACAGAATTATGGCGAATTTTTTACAAATGTTCTCCATTTCTGCTCGTTATTCGACATCCACTTTTGTTCTTCAGCGCTATTGTAAGGGAATGGTCCAGTAGCAGTTCTTTCCGACATTTTTTCAGGTAGTGCTTTCTTTGAACTGTCCCTGTTTTCCGTCGTCGATTGTAGTTTTCGAGATCCACCTTCAGCCTTCATCCAGTGTGGTTGTATTGAAGGAAGTATTCCACATTCTGGATTTTACCCCCTGTCGTGCTCTCCACTCAGCTTTATATATATATTAAAAAAATATATATATATTATAGGGATATGGCTTGGCAGTGTGATCATGTGTTTTGTATGATTTCAACCTATAAAAAGACCGCCTGTACTACTGCGGTGTGCCTGCGATGTTGCAATCTAAATATTTGATGCGCCAGTACGCAAGGCCCAAACGTAGAAACACATCTTACGGTTGTAGCCAGCAAATAAATAGTAAACATTATCAGAAAAATGCTGCCTCCCGCTCAGTCTGGTCACTGAGTTACTTGGGTTTCATCAGCATCCCGAACTAAATATTCACTCACGCGCATACGAAACCTAGGCAAGCTTTAAAGCTGAATTTGAAGCATTTAAGTTGATATAGAATTATTTTATGCCTACGGCCCACGTACGGAAGCAAATATTTTCGTAAAGTTACAGCGTCCCAATCAACTTAGTTCCCGGACTGATATATTGCTAGCGACGCAGAAATCTTGATGCATTCTGGTACGTGACGTAGCGTGCGTTAAAACAAAATTTTAAATCTTTAGCTCAAACGAGAACATAGAACATCTTCGAAAAATTACAGTTTTCTATCCTGTCTAGTCTCCGAAATAGTTTTAAGCCAAATAATTTACATATTTTTAGGCGTTCGTCCGTGACACCCACGTGTGTGAGCAT